CACCCACTAAACTGAGCAAAAGAAGCACAGAAAATGCACAGGTCAAACCAGAGCACTCTTATGAGTGCTTATATACAGAGAGAACCTGGCAGTGCAGTTTATTGTTTGAATAACTTTGTATATAAAGTGATATGCCAGGTAATACACCATGCACTTATGGCATTTCTGTAATCCAGTGGCTGACTTAAAAAGGGTCTTATGAACTCTCTGATCTTGTACTCTTATGTTTTTCCGCTCAGTTATTTTTTGCTTTCTTTCTCTGAGCCTTAGATTCAGACACCAATAAGAAAAACAGAAGAGGAAGTTCAAAAAAATTAGCCAGCTGAGATCTGATGGGAAGCTAAAAGGTCTGGATACCAATTTTCAGTACATGACCCTACAAATACCAGCTGGGAGACTTCAGGATGCTCTTACAGCCCAGTACATAACAGTGGCAAGAGAAAAAACAATACCTGAGCAGACTCTCACCATGCTTTGCAGTGTAGAACTGAGCAGACCTGCGCATCTTTGCACAGACTGTCCTCTACCCCAGCAGCTGTGCAGGCCACAACATGGAGCCACAACACACTCTGGGAACATCCAGCTGTACTCTCCTCCTTAGCCTCAGTTTCAGTATTTGTGGGAAAATAATGGAAGATTTGTGAGGAGGATTCTAAATACACTCAAGAACTTGCAGTGTGGGTGTCAAAACCACATATATTATACCAATTGTTCTTTGGTCTTGTGTGTTGGACAAGAAGAATATCTGTGTTTGGACAGCACAGACCTGTGATTGACCTAAAGGCACCCAATCAAACATGCTTGAGATTCCAGGTGTGGGAAAGACCAAAGCACAGTGGTGGTAAATTGCACCTTCAGCAATTCAGAAGGGCAGGTTTGGCCATCTTCCAGCATGGACAGCGCTCCATGGTGCATCCTTGCCTGTGTGCTTCTGGCCAGGTGCTGCTTTGGGAATCCCCTGGTTGGGGAGGTAACAAAAATTGATTTACTCTTTGCATTTCACACATGGTTTTGTGTTTCTTCCTGTGGCCTGCCTGTGCCAGCTCACAACAGTATGTCAGTTTGCTCTGGGTCTGAGCTGCTTTGTACGTTTTGAAGCTAACACATGCTTCACAAGACTGCTATTCTACAGGGCCTCTCTCTCTAAGGAGAGGAAAAGAACATAGAAACTATCCAGTCCTGTGTCTGAAGAAGGAATCACAAACCATATCTTGGCACTCCACTCAATAAATAATTAACCCATACTGCTCTCCAGGAAAATCAGCGCTTGTGCATAAGCAGTCACTTCCAAAAATTTTTTGCATATATAGCATACAGTTTTTAAACTACCAAAATATATGCAAAGTGATTTCTTCCATCTTTTTACTGAAAGCCAGACTACTACAAAATATTTTTTTTTTACAAGTGGTTTGCAAGATGATTTTCAAAGCATAGGTTTGTGCAGCTCTGTGTAGTCCTTTGATCTATGTCTTCTTCAGTCTCAATGTCTTGAACTCAGCATAAACATTTTTCTCTATCTATTTATTTTCATCATCTGTTTGCTTTCTTTGACACTGCTGAGTGTTGGCTATCAGCCACCTATTACAATCTTACTGTATTCAGAACAAAATTGGTTAAAGGGTTTCATTATTGCAATTCCTGAAGAAGTTGCTTTTGCTTCTGGTCTCCTACAAACTTAGTTATATTAACACTGCGTTATGAAAGACACCAGATGGACAGTACTGGAAAAACCACATCCTTGTTTTCAACAATACATGCCTTAGGTCATCACATCTTTCCTCCCTATATGAGGAGACATTATTACATTTCTCAGAAAAGGTCTACAGGGTGTAGCATGTGGAATTTTTCCCAGATTCCATAAGCAGACAGTTACATCAAACCACAAAATGGTTTCCAAAATAAAGGTGTTTCATACTGCAAGCTAATACCAGTGGGATGGAGTAGTCTGCTGTAAATATGTCCAAACTTGGTTTCTTCAGACTTTTACTCAGCAACTCTCATTCTGTTTAGACAGACATTTCTTGTGCCTGTTATTTGTCATAAGTTAAATGTTATTGGTTTTTTCCATAGGAAAGACACAAGTTTTTTTCAAGAGGAAACTTCGAAAGCCTCTTGGTAATTTCCTCTGGATCTTGAAATGAAGGATAAGAAACAGGACTGAAGAAAGACATCAGTAACATTCACTATTAAAACGAGAGAGCCACCCTCATATTCATGGAGGAAATTCCCTTTACCCAGTACTCTCTTTACTCCATGTCTTTTGGCACAATCACTGTTATTTCAGCCTGACATACATAGTTTAAATGCATGAAACAGTGAGGGAAATAGTGAAACAGGTCTGATACTTGGCTGACATGATTCCAGTGGGTTTTTCCCAGTGGAGAAGAGTAAGGATAGTAAAGTGACAGTTCAGGCAGAAAAGAAAAAAAAAAAAAAAAAAA